CTTCATTAAATCACAGCACACCACGAGAGAGACAGAGCTCTTGTCTCTGTTTTAAGACATTGGCAGAGAAAGGGATTAAGCGGTAGTTCTCAGTCACTAAGTTTGGAAGATACTATGCTATCACCACGTCACAAATGTATTCTTGTAGTTTTCCAAGGTCGCCTAGAAAACGTGCTAACCAGGACTTCTTCCATCGGATTTATTTCTGAGCCAGTATGCCCTGTGCAGCACCTTTCTCTCCCAGATCTGGACAAAGTGTGTTCGTTTCTCTGTAGGTTTAGTTATTATGTTACACATTACTTTCCTTCTAAACCATTGCCTCTAATGGTTTTTTCTCTCCATTCCTAACTCTAACAACATAGTTCTGGTCTTTTAGAGCCTTTAATAAATATCAAAATCATTTTGTCTCTAAGACAAGCAAATACACAGAGATATAGATGTTACAGAGGAAGAAGAAGAGTAGGAGAGTGCAGCAATAATATCCAATGCATGTCTGAAAATAAAACTAGGATGGTGAGATGGGGGAGGGCAGGGGAGGGGTTGGGCAGGCAGGAGAGAACCTTGGGAGGGGCGACATTGACCAAGATGCACTGTACTCATAAAGGACACTTTGAATTGAAACCCTTTGTACAACTACTTAAAGATAATTAAAAATAAGGAGTTTATAAATTGATCATAAAACATAAAGGCAACTAAGCAAGCAAACTTTTCCTTTGCATTCTTCAATTTGAGGACATGATGTGAAATAAAAATATTTCCTCTGCTGAGGTCAGGAAGGTAAAATATAACGAAATAGACTAGAGTGTACCAAGATCTGCCCAGTAGCCTTGAAACACTATAGCAAGCGCACAGAATGTCTGTGAAAAAGAATATCTAGATATATTTAGAAGCCACAGTCTTACCAAAGTTCTGTAGAATGGTCAGACTCACCTGCAAATAATCATCAGGAATATTGCTGCTGGTTGTGTATGCTTTTATTTTCAGGTTCATATAGTGTCTGCATATGAACACACACAAACACACACAACTTACGAGATAAGCCTCATCTCCTTTGGATCCTGGAAAAATAGTCTGTGTAAGAACTCACCGTATTGATGAAGAGGAACAGTTTAAGAGTCAGCCAAGCAGAGCAGACTGCTAGTCCTCCCTGCCTCCGGGGACCTGGGCCAGGTCTCTTGGACCTCAGAAGGTGATTGTGAACCTGCTTCCCTCAGGGGGCTGGGCTTCCCAGTGGTCGGAATCTACAGGGAAGAGACAGTGACAAGAGCCAAGTTTGTTGGCAGAATGGAAGTATTCCTAACTAATAAGGCTGGAGGCATGGAAAACAAAAGATCAAACTTTTCCCTCTGAGCGAGAGAGATCAGCACTGCTTCTTATGAAATAGCCACCTTGGATACTATGGAGAAACACTCAATTGCCTCATCAAAACCAAAACAATACCTGTTCCTTACAATTCAAAGTTTTCTATAAATCGGTTCAAGCCCACTTTGTTTTCTCCCGAACATGAGAGGAACGTGTTTTTCTTTAACCCACTTTGCATTTTTGGAGTATCACCTGTGTACGAAAACTAGCGTGAGCGACCCATTTCCTTCTTGTACTTTCAAAAGCTCTCATCTGAAACAGGCGCTCTCTCTGGGCACTGTCCGTCTGTACATTCTCTTAGCTCAGACCTAAGAGCACACGTGACACTTTTGTCAATGGAAATAATTGTGCCTTGTCTTTTCATTTCTTTATCAAAAGTTTAACAGGTCTGTCAGGGCATAATCGACTCCCAGCAGCAGTGCGTCATACGTGTATAATTTTAGGTGAATGTGATGCACGTGCTTACCCATAAGGCACTTTGCTGAATTGAAAAAGAATAAACACACGCAACACACAAGAATCTGTTTGTGTTTTTCTCTGTAATCCTTCCCTGTCAACCTTCTCCCCCTCCGGCCTGAGCAGTCGTGAATCCACGAGTGTCACTGCAGGCCGGTGTGTGCTTTCCAGAGCCCTGCCCTGAGAAAATGACACCGCAGACCACCTTTCCTGGGCTTTGCGGCTGGCAGACGCGCTGTGAGCATCACGTGTACCTCGCACGGGCCATCAGCACCTCAGGTTGCCTCCCCTCGACCTTCCTCGTGGGGTGATGTCTGTGGATTGTGAGGACCTTGCTGCCTTGCTCACGGTAACCTTATGTTTTGCTGTGATCAAGGTCAGGAAGCCTGTGTGCATAGCGTTTTATTGCTCATTGTCTTCTAAGCACCAGCATACACAATGCAAATAAATAGAGGTAAAATTTGTTAATGGTGGTTTTCTCTCCGGAGGAGGTATGTGTAGGGATTGGAAGTAAACAGCAGGGCTCCGCTGGGCGATCACCAGTGTCTACTTTTTTCTTTTTTCTTTTCTTGAATCAGATAGTGAACACTTTGTACGTTATACATTTTAGGGTCTTTAATGCAACTGTCTGATTCTTTCCCTTCAGAGACCTTAGCCTTAGATGATACTGTAATGAAGGGACAGAACTGTGTCCAATAAAACTCTATTTATGAACACTGGAATTTGTATTTCCTTTCACTTTAGAAAGCATTTGATATTGTAAAAGGCAGTCTTACACCAGTCATCCCTCATAAATATATACACGTGTCTTTGTGCATGCGTGTGCCTGTGTGTGCCTGTGCTTGTGTGTGTGTGTGTGTGTGTGTGTGTGTGTGTGTGTGTTGGTGGGTGCTGCTACTGGGGCTTGAACTCAGGGCCTGGATCCTCTTTCTTAGCTTTTGGGATCAAGGCTAACGCTCTGTCACCTGAGCTGCAGCTCCACTGCTGGGTTTTTGGTGGTTAGCTGGCAATAAGAGCTTCATCGTCTTGCTTGCCTGGCTGGCTTTGACCTGTGATCCTCAAATCTCAGCCTTCTGAGTAGCTAGGATTATAGGCATGAGCCACTGGTGCTATTTTATTTATTTTTTAAATGAAAACAAGTCAGGACACTGGACGCAACTGAGTTATGTGAAAGAAAATGTACCAGTGTTTAGGAAGGACCGTGTTTGTTTCCCAAGCTTGCATAATACAGTGATGACTCATTGTTTTTCCTGCCGAGATGCAGTGTGAAGCCAAGTTAAATTAGCTAGGTTGGAAAACTGACAACAGGCAGGTAAATACAAATTAGAAAATTAAGGGGAAAGCAGAGGCTTGTTGGATCAAAGGTCTATGTATCTCAGATTTTAAAGTTCTGATTATGTGATAGAGGACATAAGATGGGTGTTAAATAAGACATGGAAGGATGGAGCAGGCTGCGATGGCTCAAAGGTGAGAGATGGCAGCTGCTGCGTAGCTATGATTTGTTACTCTTTGAAGGGACATGCTGAGGGAACTTAGTTCTCAGTGGAAGATGGCATTTTCATTGTGGTTGAGGAGGACTGAGATAAGTACATAGCAACTACCTAGAAAAAGAGAGAGAAGGTGAATGGATTGGGTCCACATCAGTTTTAGTATTTCTGATCGGTGTCACAGTGGTGTGTGTAAGATTAAAACAAAACCACCGGGGCTGGGAAGGTGGCTCAGTGGTAGAGCGCTTGCCTTGCATGCATGAGGCCCTGGGTTCGATTCCTCAGCACCACATAAGCAAAAAAAAAAAAAAAAGAAAAAAAAAAGCCGGAAGTGGCGCTGTGGCTCAAGTGGTAGAGCACTAGCCTTGAGCTGAAGAGCTGAGGGACAGCGCCCAGGCCCAGAGTGCAGGCCCCACAACCAGACCCAAAAAAAAAAAAACAAAAAAAACAAAACCACCTGGCTTCATGGGAAGAAGAAATAATGACAATAGAATTCTACCAAATAAGGTGAGAGGAATACAGACGCACTCCTAGGAAATATTAACTTGTACCGTTAGCCAATTAGATATCAACCGTTAGTATCAATTCCAACACTATAGTAGTCAGTGACTGAGGTTTAGAGCATCATTTTCCTATTGTTTCTGTTCACAATCATGTTTGTCCAGCATTTTCATCAGGCGACGTTGAGATCTTTGTTCCGGAGGTCAGGGGATTTCTGCATGGGCACACAAATAGGATAAACACAGAGGACACTCGGTCCTATCCACAGAACTGACTGATGATGGACAGAGGTTGACAAATATTAGAGAAACAAAATGATGACACTTACCCACAGCTGGCAGATGCCAGCGCAGCCGGGGCCGTGCCTCAAGGGAGGGGCTGACCGTGAGGAGGCTGTAAGAGCCTGCTGTGTCCAGGCTCAGGACAAGGAACAGGAGTAGTAATTCATGGAAATAGGCACGAGAGCAAGAGTGTTTGAGAGAAGAGGAAGATCAAGGAACTAGGAGATGTTCGCACCAATTCTGCAGAAACAGACACTAATCATGCAACCTAGAGGAGCTGAAGACCAGACACACCTATCCATGCACTCCCCAAAGTAGAGGAAAGCAGGTCTGTGGAGACACCTGTGTGTTTAAAAAGCGGAGGGTACAGAGGGCAACCTGGTGGTTATGGTTTTGCTCTGATTTTGTTTGATGAGCATGGCTTTGGAATCTTTTATTTCAATGATAATCAGTGAATTAAATAGTAAGCCATCATGATAGTTTTGCAGAAGACAGGCACATAGGAAACTCATGCAGTGGAAATACTTGATGTGCAGAGCAGAATTCTCCACAGTCCTCAGCCACAGCCTCCATGACCTGAGCCAAGTATCATTCTAGTAATAAATAGCACAGGCCCTGGAGCCACGGGGACCCGGCAGACCTGCCCTGTGCCCACCGCCCCAGGAACAGCCATGGTCCAGCACACGAAGCACCATCAGCCACGAGAAGGCTTTCAGCAGCTTTAGGAAACATCTGGATGCGATACGAGGGGTGAAGCCCGGGGTATCGCGGTCAGGTGAGGTCTCCAAAGCATCTGATCCTGGGGCTCCAGTCACCGTGACAATGTGCTTTCACATGGTCAGTTAGTAGCGGCAGTAATCAGATGGTCTGAAGACATGAATCATTATCATATTTTGCTAGGGTGTAATATTTTTTATATGGATATTCTTTTTGCACAAAACTTACTTAGGGCCATTTTGACATCCTTATTTCTCAGGCTGTAGATCAGTGGGTTCAGCATCGGAACAACAGTAGTATAAAACACAGAAGACAATTTTCCATGGTCCCTGGAGCTGATGGAGGAGGGGCGCAGGTACATGAACGCCAGAGAACCAAAGAACAGAGAAACGGCAGAGAGGTGGGAGCTGCAGGTGCTGAAGGCCTTGGACCTGCCCTGGGCAGAGCGAATGCGGAGGATGCTGGCGATGATGAAGATGTAGGAGCCCAGGATGGTGAGGGTCGGCACAAAGATATTAAAAGTGCTTAAACACAGAACTACTGTTTCATTAATAAAAATACTGGAACAGGAGAGTTCCAGGAGAGGGAAAAGGTCGCAGAAGTATTGGTTTATTGTATTTGCCCTACAGAAATTCACTCTCAGCATGCAGACAGTGTGAGCCGTGGCACCAATCAACCCCACGCTGTACACACCAGCCACCATCCAGGCACAGACTCCACGGGACATGGTGGCATTGTAGAGCAAGGGCTTACAGATGGCCACGTAGCGGTCGTAGGCCATGGCAGACAGCATGTGGCACTCGGCGATAACAAAGACAAGGAAGAAGTAGAGCTGAGCCATGCACTCCGGGTAGGAGATGGTGTTCTCTGCCACAAAGCTCACCAGCATTTTGGGGGTGATGACGGTGGAATGACAGAGGTCGATGAAGGAGAGACTGCTGAGGAGATAGTACATGGGGGTGTGCAGGTGAGAACTGAGCGCGATCAGCACGATCATGCCCAGGTTCCCCAACACCGTGAGCACGTAGATCCCCAGGAAGAGGAGGAAGAGGGGCAGCTGGAGCTCTGGCTTCTCCGTTAGTCCTGCCAGGACGAACTCAGTCACTGTGGAGTGGTTTCCTGGGGCCATTTCTCCTTGGGGCAATCTATGTAGGGAGAGAAGAAAAAAAATGAGGTAAGAATGTATTGTCTTACCAAATATTGAGATGTGAAAAAGAATTCCAGTCTTTTCAGCCAGGTATCAGTTCTCTGAGAGTTTCAAGTTAGCAGTAATAAAATAAACAGTCATAAGCTTTGGAATCACAATATCTATAAGATAGGTAAATGGCTATCATATAAAACCATCATATTTGTGTTCTATGCAGTGAGTGGCTGTTAGTATATGCAGTGTCTCACTGAGGAACAGATCTGATGACTTTGATAGAGTGTGCCAAGAAATTCTTGTGCCTCAAAGCACAGATACAGATTGAATTTATTTTTCTTACTAAGAAGGCTTGGCTACAGCCTGGCAGATTCACCTTGTCTTGTTAGCCCAATTGTGTTAAACACAGTTGAAAGAAATATGTGTTGAACCATGACAAAGACAATTTTCTCTCATCCATGCAAAACATGGATTATCATTTTCAGGGAGTTTTAGGAAATTCCTATTGTGTGTGGAGATTGCACTCCAGGAAGTCCTGCCACATTCTGACATCAAAAGGCTCTGGGACAATGGAATCTGGGTACTTACTCTGGATGGTCCTGGAAGTTTCTGTCCTGGTTGTGAGCGAGCTACAGATCGGTTGTCCCGAAGTGAAATGACTCGACGTTGCTGGTGGCAGTACAAATGAAGACTGTGTTCTCGCCTGGACTTGGGGATCAGGACACAGATGTCCAGTTGTGAGGTGCTCACACACTCGGTGAGCCAGGCCAGGGCCCCTCCTCGCTGCCCCAGGCTCTGAGCAGCTGGCTCAGCGCACCGAGAGTCTGGCTGTGGAAGAGGCTCATGAAGCAGACAGGAATGCCCCTCAGGACGTCCTTCCACAGGGACGAGCTATTGGGATGTAATTAAAATTGACTTTTGAATCCTTTGTCTGCAGCGCTCATTAGCCACCCATGGAGGATACCTGTGCTTTGCCATCGTAGTAATCATCACCTTGTGGGACTTGGAATGAAAGCCCAGCGGCGCTGAAGCAGGTCAGGTCAGGAAGCTGGCACCTGAGTTCCGTGTGGTCTGGATGGACAGTGTAGACAGACGGACCTACAGCCAGAGCAATTCCATGTATGACTGAAATGTTCTCCTCTCAAACAAGTGCCGCGCAGGGCACCTGGCCGCGTGTGTGGGACGCAGGAAAAAACCCTGGGCGCGGTCTGCCTTGGCCAAAGACAAATCCCCCTGAAGGCTGAGGCTTTGAGCTCTGCCACCAACCACAGGCGACGTTGCGTTGAAAGGGACCATTCACTGTGTACCTGAAGGAAAGTCCCCTGAATGTGGGGAACTGGCCCAGTGAAGGCGGACATTCTAATTACCAAATTCTAGGAATCAATTCATTATAGTTTTAAAATGAGTTATTAAACTATATTTTTTATCTTGTGCTTCTTCCCATGTTGGCTAAACATAGTGAATGGTTTCAATGCTTTCGGATAAACTAATGACTGAGTTGTGACCATGAGACTCCCTCAGGAGCCGTGTGCTTGTTGGGTGTCTGTGCTCAGTGCAGTGTTCTACCCATGCGCTGGGGGACAGCAGCAGACCGACCAAGCCCTAAGCTCTGGAGCCCCTGACCAGAGCTTGGTTTTCTTCGGAGGCGAAGGCCAGCCTCCGATTCCCGTCACCTAGCCCCTAAGTTGGGGAGGAAGGTGTGCATTTTCTGAATGAATCAATGAATGGAATGAAACATTCAAATTATGATGGCAATGCACATTTGTTGTCACTGCTCTTGAAACTGGAGTTTGATGCACAAAATCAGAACACAAACCTAATTTAATTCACGTACATATTCACAGTTAAGTCAGATTGAAGATACACAGAAGTCAAGTGAAAAAATTTTTTTTGGGGTCTGGTCGTGGGGCCTGAACTCTGGGCCTGGGCGCTGTCCCTCAGCTCTTCAGCTCAAGGCGAGCGCTCTACCACTTGAGCCACAGCGCCACTTCCGGCTTTTTTTCTTTTTGCTTATGTGGTGCTGAGGAATCGAACCCAGGGCCTCATGCATGCAAGGCAAGCGCTCTACCACTGAGCCACCTTCCCAGCCCCAAGTGAAGAATTCTTTAGCACTTCTTTTATGGCACTTTAGAAATCACTTGATTTGTTTGGTGGTTTGGAAATAAAAACCAAACAGAACACATTAAACCTTTAATTTTAGAAGGGTTTAAAATGACTTTATTTATAACATATATTCTTAAAATCTTCCTCCAGACAAAGACAAAATTAGACATATCTCCTTATAGATGGATTATGTCAGAGAATTTTTTTTTTCGGGTCATGGGGCCTGAACTCTGGGCCTGGGCAGTGTCCCAGCTCAAGGCTAGCACTCTACCACTTGAGCTACAATGCCACTTCCAGCTTTTTCTGCTTATATGGTGCTGAGGAGTTGGACGCAGAGCCTCATGCATGCAAGGCAAGCACTCTACCACTGAGCCACCTTCCCAGCCCCATCAGAGAAATGAATTTTGGTGAACACTTAGTCCCTTCAATAAGATAATTGGATGTAGACTGTAAAGACCCACATTTCAAATAAGATGGGCCAATTACAAGAGGGCTTTGAAGAACCCACATCTGGAGGAGCTGCAGTGCAGCCTGAGGAGATGAAGTGTGGCGAGTAGAGGGTGAGGTTCCATGAGTCTGACTCTGTAGATGCCATCCTGCTTTTGGAAACCACTTTCTTATAGTCAAGGACTTGGGGACACTCATTGTGGCGTCTCATTGCTGTATCTTTAACCAATATCTATAAAACATACATTTTTTTTGCTGAGAAAAATGGTATTTTTCATATAAAACCTTTCCTTTTCAGGAACTTATTTAGGGCAATTTTGACATCCTTATTTCTCAGGCTGTAGATCATGGGATTCAACATAGGCACAACAATGGTGTAAAACACAGAGGACACCTTCCCTTGGTCCATAGAGTTGACTGAGGATGGCTGCAGGTACATGAAGGCAGCAGAACCGAAGAAGACAAGCACAGCGGAGATGTGGGAGCTGCAGGTGCTGAAGGCCTTGGACCTGCCCTGGGTGGAGCGGATGCGGAGGATGCCGGCGATGATGAAGATGTAGGAGCCCAGGATGGTGAGGCTGGGGACGATGATATTAAACGCACTGAAGCACAGGACCACCACCTCATTGACAAACGCGCTGGAGCAGGAGAGCTCCAGCAATGGGAAAAGATCACAGAAGTAATGGTTTATTACATCTGCCTGGCAGAAATTCAGTCTCAGCATGCAGACTGTGTGGGCCGTGGCACCAATCAACCCCACGCTGTACACGCCAGCCACCATCCAAGCGCAGACTCCACGGGACATGGTGGCATTGTAGAGCAAGGGCTTACAGATGGCCACGTAGCGGTCGTAGGCCATGGCAGACAGCATGTGGCACTCGGCGATAACAAAGACAAGGAAGAAGTAGAGCTGAGCCATGCACTCCGGGTAGGAGATGGTGTTCTCTGCCACGAAGCTCACCAGCATTTTGGGGGTGATGACGGTGGAATGACAGAGGTCGATGAAGGAGAGACTGCTGAGGAGATAGTACATGGGGGTGTGCAGGTGAGAACTGAGCACGATCAGCACGATCATGCCCAGGTTCCCCAGCACTGTGAGCACATAGATCCCCAGGAAGAGGAGGAAGAGGGGCAGCTGGAGCTCTGGCTTCTCCGTTAGCCCTGCCAGGGTGAACTCAGTCACTGCGGAGTGGTTTCCTGGGGCCATTTTCTCCTCTGAATTCTATGTAGGAACAGAAGAAGAAAATGATGCAGATGATCTCCAGTTTCTGCATCACTCCTCCTGTGTGCAAGCAGACAGCGACGGTGGGATCCCAAACTTACCGGACCTGCACCTACGTGTAAGCTAGGACTGTCACTGTTTGCAGTCTCTGCTATGAGACTTGCCATTAGTGCCACTAGTGTCTGCTAGGACTCAGAAATGACAGATCTGATAACTAATCCACTGACAGACTGAGAGAGTTGTCCCACAGGTCAGCGGACAAAACATAAAGTACAGTCTTTGCACTTTTTATTGAACATTATACTTGATACTCTGGTAAGAGGCACAGATCTTTGAAATGGAATTTAAAATATCTTCAATAATACAAACAACTGTATAATCATTGACAATTAAAGTATATTTGTTTTTAAATGATGTAGATTTATATTGCAAATTCTAAAGCATCTATAAAAAAGAACTACTAGAACTAATTAGGAAGTTAAGCCAATAAGTGCAGGAGACCAACGAGTAAAACCTACAACTGTAAAGTCCATGGCAATATTATGAAAATTAATACTTTGTAAATGATTGAACTAAAAAATGTCAGATAGTATCTTTAAAATTATAAAGCATTGCTGAAAAGGACTACAAACTTACACACATGGAAAGGTATTCCACATTCCCACTAAAGACTCAACATTGTCAAAACCACAGTACTTCCCAAACTGATTTACCAGCTCAGCTCAATTGCTACCCGATCCAAAGCTGTGCATTTCAGATTCTGACGTGCTACTCCTTCACAAAACTGTAAGGGGTACAGAACAGTCAGAATAAACTTGAAGAGAAAACAAGGTTTGAAGGCTCACATTTCTTTAAGACTCGCTGAAATGTCACAGTAATCAACATAGCATGATATTGTTATGTGAGCAGACCAGTGGAATGGATTTGGAAGTCCAAATGAAAGCTTGTACCCCCTTCCTCTTCCTCTTGAAGGGAGGGAGGATACAACAAAAAATTCAACAAATCAGGAATTCAGGTACTCACTGTTCATCCTCCTGGTTGTGAGCGAGCTACAGATCGGGTGCCCCGAAGTGAAATGACTCGACATTGCTGGTGGCAGTACAAATGAAGACTGTGTTCTCGCCTGTACTTGGGGATCAGGACGCAGATGTGCAGTTGTGAGGTGCTCACACACTCGGTGAGCCAGGCCAGGGCCCCTCCTCGCTGCTCCAGGCTCTGAGCAGCT